ACATCACAGCAAATAAGCAGTTTTTGGAATATGAAAGAAGATCATTTCGGAAAACATATGGCACAGTGCTATTTAATGATGATTTTTAGCAAATCTGATACACTATATACTCGATCATAGAATCAGCATGGAATGCATAGATTATGGAAGCACTGATTCGCCAAAAACTATAATACTGAGAAAGAAGCCAAAGTAATATACACGCACTTAATAAAAAAAACAATAAAACACCAAAAATATTTACAGTAACTTACAGTACTTTACAATGTCACGCTGAAGAAAATATGCATGAGTTGTAGAACAATAGAATGTTAAGAAAGAAGACGATTAAGCCTGACGAAATATAAGTAACAGTTCCATTCTTTAAGCACCAAAATGGTTCTATAATTAACTAAAAGCTTAATAGTTTAGTTTCACGTATTAAGTAGTGTTATCACAATAAACCATGGGATTTAAGCAAGTTGGTTAATTGGTCTGAATCCCACTGTCACCTAACTTAAACCATCTCAATTCAAAATTTTTCTTTAGTCATACGTTAAACGTTTTTTATATTAAAAGTCATTCGAAGCTGTAATAAACAACAACAGTGTTAGTCTGGAGATCAGTCAAAAAGCTATCATTGTCAAAAGGTGCTACAACGCACTCAGTGGACAATTAAGATGTAAAGCTTTCTCTCGACCGACAAAAATTTACGCTCTATAGGTCGCTCTTTCTACCTATATTTCTGTATTAGCACAGTGATGAAGCAGTATTGGAAGTTTTTGAGATCGAAATATACAAATGAACCACGAGCTATAGGTACAAACATTATCTCGATATTAATATGATGAAACGGCTTCGCTGGCCTGATCGTGTTGTGGCAATGGAGGACAATGCTTCAACAAGAATGTTATTTGAAGAGGTTGTTGGAGGAAGAAGGCATAAAAGAAGATCGTGCCTCTGATGGAGTGATTATGTTGAGGAAGCACTAACCACACTAGATGTACGAGACCTGAAAGGGTGCGCACGTACCTGAGACGCCTGGAGAAGAGTGCGGACCGATAACTGGTTGATATAACCATTTAAGTAACTAAGTTAAGGTTATGTAAGATTATATGACTATTAATATATATACTAACAACACCCAGATGATGGGTAAAAATTGTTTAAATTTTTTAAAAAAATTTTATATAAAGATTTAATTTTAAAAAACTATATTTATTAATTAAATAGCAAAAACCGAAATGTGGACTTTTTTCCGTGCCCTAAAATAATATATTAGCTACTTTTATAATGTTTTTTTCTGTCATCAAAACCAAAAAAAAAGTGAAAAGGAGTATTCAAAATTGTATATACATAGTATGTATGCTGTCATGTATCAAAACCATAACATAGAATGTTATATATTAATAGTTTCTATCAATGATAATATATTTAATTGTTTTTGTGTATTGATTTCATTCAAAGATAATATAAAGATACGTTTGTTTTAGCAAATATGAGGTGTCTTAAGATGGGACTAGACAGATATTACCAAAAATGTGATATGTACAGAATTATTTTTTTTGTTTTTTATAAATAATAATCTATTCAAATGTATTACTTATAAAATTTATTAATATGTAATAAGAGATAAACAATAAAATTAATTTTATGTAATAATTAAGTTGAAATTGTTTTCAAAGTATAAAGTGTAGACATAAATTAAAAAAAAAAAATTAGAAATATTGCATATTTACGAGTTTAATTCTATTGAGTTACTAAAATATTATATTTTTGTAGCAGATAGACAATTAACATATTTAAAGTGAATGCAACTGATCCGAAGTTTTCTAGAAGTCTAAACGAGACAAGTTTCGTTTTGATAATTTTTTCTATTGAAGTGCAACAAACGCCCTTGCACTGATTTTTAACTGCATTAAATGAATTTTTTTTTACAAATAATGTGTGCTTGAAATTGTTAACAATAAAAATAGCAATAAATTTTATATATAATTTACATGTCTGTTTTTTTTTTTCCAAAAATTAAAACACAAAAAATGAATAATTAAGGGGCACTTAACGTAAGTTCAGTTGCAGCTCTATTTTAGTACTTAATATACACTATCTAACCCAGCAGTTAAGTTAGGTTAAGAATCTTTTTACAACCGGTTAAATCACTAGTTAGTCTACCCCTTGTTGTGTCCCTTCACAATTTTTTCAACCTGGTCAATTAAGTGATTATTATAGCTGTTTTTTTATATCAAAATTACTGATGATTACTGGTGATAACCATTTTTGTAACTGTGATCCTTATAAAACACTCATGTCTATTGGTGAAGGGTTGAACACCATTTGCAACCTTCAAAAAAGCTTTAGATGCTATTTACTTGACGCATACACAGGCAAGACTTTGGCAAGATTTATATTTTTAAATCCAAATATATTTATTTTAGAATTTTGTGTGCGAACTAAACTTACTATGGTTTAACTAAAAGTTAACTTCTCCAAACAAACTGAACTGAACAAGAGACAGGGAGAGAGAGTTTGCTAATATCTACAAAAAACACGAGGAAATAGAACATTACATACGAATATATAAAGAATTATAAAAAAATTGCCATATTGTCGTATAGTCACGGTTACAAAAACAACATATTTTTGCTTGCCGTGTTTTTCCCCAATTTAATTTAACCTCTAAGATTGATTTGCTGCACCATGTACATATATATAGTTTCAATATACATGAATAAACATTAAAAAAAAAATTTATGTGAATGTTAAAATTTCCCCATTGGTTTGTTGGATTCACTTTATGCAATTTCTTTATTATAAATTTGAAAGTTTTAAATTGCATTTTGGCCGCATGTCAAAAGCTCCAAAATTGGAAAACTAAACATTTTTCTTTTATTAAGCTTAATAAGAAACAGAAAATAAAAAACAAACATATGCAAAGTTAGCAGAGTTGAAAAAAAAAACATTTCAAAATCTCACATTTAAGAGTGGAAAATCTGAATGCACATAAATTCGCATCTATATGAGCCTAATTTGCAGTCACATTTCAATTTCAGAAAAGTTGTTTACGCTTTGCACTGGTGCATTGGGTCAATGTACCGCAATTGCCTTAGAAAAATGCCAAGGCGGTTGATATGTGGTTGCCGACACTTCTCAATATTTTTGTATTGTAGTTTGTTATATTTATAATCAATTATACTACATAAACATGCATATATACGTATAAATATAAATATGTATTTTTACACTTTTTCAAGTTTTTTAACAAACTTTACCTTATTGCAAGGACCGGACCAGTTAGATTAGATATACGGCTCAACTGAATATCCTTTGAGTTCGTTTGACTTTTGTTATTAGATGCTCTGTTCCTAGTATTTTAAATTTTAAATAGTGACAAGTTATAGAAAAGCTGCATGCATAACTGATTCACGAGTTACTTTAAGTAATTTGTTTATTCAGAATCTGGTATATCAGTTTCCTATGACTCTTCGAGATAAAGAAACAATAGTTTTTCAAATATTTTGGCACAGTTCCTTGCTAAAAGTAAACATCTGCGCAATATATGAGAACTTAACTATTCTTCATTTTCTTCTTGACCAAAACTTTAAAATTCATTGATTAGTAATCCTGATATTAATCTCTATGTATACCTGTCTTTTTGTCAATGCTCATTTACAGTGGAAATAGTATTACCGATTTTAGTTTCACCTAAGTAAATTAGTTTTTAGACCGTATCTCCAATGGAGTGATTAATTTAAGCGAGCAGTAACTGCATTTGATGTACGAGACTTGAAAGGCGCCTGGAGAGAAGTGGTGTATCAGGCCGAAACCCTACAACGCGTTAATTAAGTAATTAAGTAAAAAGTTAATTAGTTCACAAGTCTAAATGGCTTGATTGAGAACCAAATAACTTATGTTGTTTTAGTTAAATTAAACTAATTTTGCTATTTAATCCCTACTTTTTTTGAAGAACTGATATAGTATAGTTCTTACATGAATAGATGGCTGCGTCTTCGCTTGTTGATTTTTCTGTCACAAAATTGTAATTATATTATGATTTCTCTTTGGTGGTCGTTATATCGTTATTTGGTGGACATTATATTGAAGTGAAATCTACTGATCTTGTTTATATAAGGAATCTTATTTTTAATAGTATATCAAGTAAAACCTAAAGGGAAAAAGAAAATTGGTTAGAAAACCACTTGCAAAGTCTGGTGTTCTGTGTAATATCTTAGGTGTATTAATTCCAAACACAACCGTGTGATCTAATTTAAAATTTAGCGTGAACACTAAAATCAAGTGAAATTATTTACAAATATAAAGTATATATAACATACACGAAATAATTTTTAATTTATTGAAAGTAGTACAAACAGAAAATCAATTGCAGGCTTTTACAGTAGAGTAGTAACTTAGTTAGGCCCATTGAAACAATCCTATGTAAATTTGTTATAACAACTATTCCTATTCATTAATCAGTTATTCTACCCTGTCACCTTACACCTAATAATATAGATATATAAATTATATTATTTTAATGAGATATGTTTCTTATCTCTTTTATTCCTTAATAAGTATTTTTTCTTTTAACAGTATATTAATGCATCTCTAGCGGATATCTGTATGTGTATAATACAGATCTCCTCTAATCCGAATCTCTTGTAATTCGGATTAGATTATATTACACAAAACATTTATAAGTAATGTGTAATGTATATGTATGTATATTTTATTCGCCTATACGCTTTGTTAACTGTTTGATGACTCCTAGACATCACTTATCCTTTATCATGTGAATATATTATTTAATTTATGGATTAAGTTAAAGAGTAATTGATTAATGTTCACTTTTATAAAGTTTCTGAATTATATTTTATATATTAAAATAAATATAAAAAGACTTGAATTATATATATAAAATACATAAAACAGTTCCTGCATTTTTATGGGGCTCCCGTAATCCGAATATTCCACTAATCCAGATTGATACCAATTTCAATAAATCCGGATAAGCCGAGTTTTACTGTATATAAATTTAACAACTATTATTGTCGAGATTGTAATAATACTCAACATATTGTCGTATTACTAATTTTATATACATTTTTTTTGTTAAGTTTTCCATCGATTGGATATACAAAAACATTAAGCTTAAAATTTCAAAATATTAAATCAAAAATTAAAACTATTACAGTTCACTTGACATTTAAATCGAAATACCCAAACCGCTAAATCGATTTACTTTAGTTTGTAGATCAAAAATGTATATAGTTTATATAGTCTCTAGCGTCGCCTTTACCGCGTTATCTCAGTAAATCTTTAGTTTTAGTTTATTAAATCAAAAATTAAAACTATTATAGTTCACTTGACATTTAAATCGACATCCAAACAGCTAAATCGACTTACAATAGTTTGTAGATCAAAAATGTATATAGTTTATATAGTCTCTGGCGTCGACTGCACCGCGTTATCTCAGTAAACCTTTAGTATTATAATCGGAATCTACCGTAAATATCTTACTTCATCATATACGTATATATAGATATATATTTTGTTAATTTGATGAAGTTTACTTTATTTATTGATTACTTGAAAACTTTATTAAATCTTGTAGTTTTCATAAAGCATTATTCGCAATTTCAATCAATAAAGCAATTTTTTTTCAAATTACTAGCCGCTTTACTTTGATAAACGTAATGATATAATTATATACAAATTAAATTGTATTTATATATTATTTATATATTTTACTTAGTTTCCTTATATTGATACTTCTATAAGATATATTACAAAAAGAGGCTAACTTTTTGCCGCCTATTACGTCACAAAACTATTCATTTTAAAAGATATATTAAAACATATTATTATAGTTGATTGCTCCTGCACTTTAATACATTTTTAATTATATTCAATTATATTCAACAATTATTAGATATTTTTATAATAATACTTATACATTAGTAATTATTTTCGTTGAGCACATACCCGCTTTTTATTTTCAACAGCTAAACACCACTTTTCCACACAAGCAAATGATATTTAATTAAAAATTTCAAACAAATATTAAACAATTTCTGCTTAATTTTATGAAATTTTTTACTCGTTCAATGCGTATATATATTTGTTATTTTTTATATATTTCGTTACGGACAAATATACTTAAACTTGTTCAAAATACAAGACCATAATGACATAAAATTGCATAAAATGTGCAATATGAAAATACGCCAAAGCTCTCTCACGCACTTTTCCTATCGGAAAAACCAGAGGCATAATAAGGGTTGCCAACTCTTTTGAACTTCGAGTATCCATGTGCGAGTATTTTCAGGTACTTGTCATAAATCTGATTTATTCTATTATAAGTGAAAGTACCATAAAAGATTCAATAAAATATCTATAAATAATATTAAATTAATAAATTAACTAAAAGAAATATGAGAGCACTATTTTTTATATGAACATTATTACAAATACGAAAGATTGCCGTCTCAAGTAGATATTCGTTATTCTCACGTTATTCTCGAACTTTATATATTAGATTCAAACATTCTGTGTGATATCCTTATATCAAGTATCATTAGTACTTGGTCCCATTGAACTTAATTTGTTTGCAATGTCCTGACTGCTTTCTTAGTCAAAATAATTCTGAATTGAGACGATCTATCAGTGGATTCTTAACTGAATATATTCTTTTTAACTACAATCTTTCGAAAACGCAATTAAAGAACAGTAACACCTTCAATTTTTGTGCAATCAACAATTAAACACATCCACATCTTACCTATTTGCGCCCTGTCATTTTCAGGAAATAAATCCAAGATTCTAAAGAATCTTAGTTATTATAATACCTCCCTTTATGTGGTTATTTAGGTTTGGATGGTTTTTTTTTCTTCAAGTTTCATAAGGTTACATAATCCCTAGAATCGCCATTATAACTTCACCTAACCTAGTGTTACGATGATATTTAGTTATAAAATTAGTTTTGGTATTCCATAAACTAATAAAATTTAATTTTAAACCTTTTCGACGTTACTATAGATACGCTTAAAGTCTTAAGTCTGCAATTAGCAAGAGAATACTCTCACAATAACTTAAGAGAACAAAGATCCATGTAAAATGTTTAATAAAAACATTTCCAAATACATATATAACATACTCGTATTCATATTGGCACAAGCCTTAACCAACTTAAAACTTAATTTATATAAAATACTGTATACACTCTATGCAGGTGTTCTGTAATCGGAGATTTAAAACATTTAAAAATTATTCTTCCTATATCATAGCAATTTCGATGACAGTGATAAATATATATTATTTAATCATTAAAGTATTTACCACTAAAAGGTATTTTATAATAAATCTTTTATAAAGTATAGATTGTTAGGTGAGCATCCCATTCCCTCTTAACATTCAGAAATTAATCATTAGTTTAAGTGAATAGACCCGATCAAAAAATACATAAGGGACAGAGCCCTGAAGTTTTATGTGAAAATTGACAGACTATCCTACTTCCACTATCTAATCTTAGAGTAATCACTCTCCGCACGGGGAGATACGCAGATCTTAGATCAATCACTAAATAATCATAAAGCTTATAGGCAATACATAAATTAGTCAATGAGATGGGTGGGACCCTGTAGTACCCCCAGCTATCAAAGAGTAAAAGTGCCCAGTTGCGCTGACTCGAAAAAAGGATCAACATACATACTTTAAGTGATTGGAATGTTCAACAATATAGATTTGAAAATTTTTATATAAATGGAACTATTTAAATATTAATTCTAATACACTGTTTTGAATGAATGCTTTATCTATAACAAATTATTTTCATTAAGCAATCAAACACATATACCATTTAATTATCTTAGATAATTTACATTTGTCAACTTTTTTGGTCTTTTTGGTCTTGAGGGAATGATCGATTGCAAATAGATTGTAATCCATTTAACCAATTTAACAAAAACAAATATTTTTTTAAACTTATATATTCAAGTGAAGTGCATTTTTTCCACAATTTACACATAATCCCTTCACTAGATACTCTTAAATTAAAGTCAGTAAATAAAAACACAAAAAAACAATTATACAAGTTATGATTAAATTTTACAAGAAAATTGTTTTAGTTTGCCACACTGTCACTTGTAAAGCCGAATTCCATCGTTAGGAGGCGCTCAAGTCGCTGTGAAAAAATTCCAAACATTCAATGAGCCAACAAAGATACTGAAACACATAAATAATCGAAGGCGTTTTAATAGTCAAAATAGTTATACAAAAATGTCCAAATTGATTTTATAAAATTAATTTTTTAATTTTTTTAAACAAAAGAACATAAATAAAAAGAAAGAGAATGGCTTTCTTATGTCCTGTGCGTATGCGACGCGATAAAAAGAAGGGTAAAAATTAGTCGTTAAAAACAATAACAAAGTAGATTTTGGCTATTTTCTTACAAAACATATAATAGAAAAGTGATTAAGTTAATATAACAAATACAAGAAAAATAAAATGACACTTCAAAGACGTTTCGCAAATTATCAGAAACTAAAACAAAAGACTTAAGCAAAAAACTAAATTTTATATAATTTCTTTACAGTTGAGCGAGACTTGCCAGTACCTGTTGGCATGGGTCGCATAACTGGTTCGTCAAGCATCGAAACACTTGTACGCGTAGGTATAGAAAAGGAACATGGGCTCAGTCCAGACTCTAAAATGGTTGTGCTCCACGACTTTACACCTTGTGTAGACGACGAACTCGAAGTGAAACGTGGTCAAATTGTAAATCTCCTGTACCGTGAAAATGATTGGGTGTATGTCATAGGACAGGAAACACGTCAAGAAGGCTTTATACCATACTCGTACTGCGCACCAGCTCATACACAGTTAGCTGATCTAGCTGTAAAAAAAAAATTACCACGAGAACAAAATGTCAACATAGATCATGGTGAGAACATACCATTGTTAAGTGCGGAATCAAAATTGGAATTGTTGGAAGATAGTGGGCCAACACTAAAAAATAATGAAACACTCATCTTGGAACCAGAGTGTACACCATTTCATAAAGAAGCAAGCGGACGATATATTGTTTTATATACATTCATAGCACGCGATGAGAATGATTTATCCGTGGAACGAGGCGAATTTGTCACTGTGCTAAATCGTGATGACACTGATTGGTTCTGGATTGTGCGCAGTGACGGTGAAGAAGGTTTTATTCCTGCAGCATTTGTTTATCCGGCAGATAGTGTTTTACAGGTACAGCAAAATATGGTAATGCAGGAAAATGCACATCATAACACAAAGTTAAACACGGAACACAATAAGCATAATTCAAATGTGGTGGTCACCAATAACATCCATGGAGGACATGCTCAGATTTTGAAAAACACAAATAACCCACTAGATCCTACAAATGGATTAAGCAGTTTACAACAACAACTTATACAACAAAATCAGACTAATCATCAGCATCAGCCACAAATTGGTATTGGTACAGATGATCTACGCTATGGCACAGAGCTCGTTATGCTATACGACTATAAGGTATATATTACGAACTTAAGATGTATATATTTATTTATACATATGTATTACAATTAATAGGCACAAGCACCTGATGATTTAAGCGTGCGCCGCGGTGATTGGATATATGCGGACTTAAGTAATCAAACTGTAGACGGTTGGTTATGGGCATATGCACCGAAAATAAGAAAATATGGCTTTATACCTAAGGCTTATGCACGTCCTCCAGCAATGACAAGCCTTTAAATATTGCGCAGTCTTTTAGCGGGATGTTGACTAAACTTCTTGAATATGTATTGTGTTATGCTCTTACAGTTACTCTTAATACTTAATTCGTAATTAGATTGTATGTTGATTAAATTTATGAAAACTCAAATTTGAAGACAAAAATTAGTTATTTAATTATGACGAAATAATGTACAAAACGAATATATATTTATGTTTGCACCTATATATTTTATTTTTGCACAGCAAAAGTGCCAATACTTATATATAAAACTTTAGTGTTTAAAAAATAATATCATTACACATAATAGCATAATATAATAATTAATTACTTCATTCAGATTGTTCTTCATACACACATTGTAGTAGATAGTTAGTCAAAAAATTTATTGTTTTTCTGATATAATGCACTTTGTGTTTTTTTTAATTAAACAATATTTCACTATATTTTAAATACTTCAATAAATACACATAAATAGTACATATTATTATTATACAAATTGATAAAGGAGATTTTCTGTTACAAATTTTTAGAGAACTAAAACAAATATTTAATATTCTAAATATTGTCAAACATTAAATAAGTTTTCGATTTGTGATTTCAACAATCTTTTTTTTTTTTTTCTTAATGAAAACTATTACATAGATGTAGTAAATAATAATGCTTAGCATATAAATCCTTTTGAAAAGAAACCTAAGTTGACAATACAATTGTCAAAATATCAAAAGTTATTTGATTGGAATTTTCGTCGAGGAGCATTGTGAGCAGTTTAAAGAAACATTCCTGAAACAAATAAAAAAAAAATAATTAATTTGTGATAATTTATTTTCTTCTTATGCTATAATTATTATTATTGAAACAAAATCTAAGAAAATATTTCTAAAAATAGTCAGTTTTATTGTATAATCTACACTATATGCTTTTGCCTCAATGCTAAGAAAAACAATCAACTTTTCATATCTAAAAAAAATACAAAAGACTAATTAACATAAGTATCCATCTTTTCCACTTTTCTCCAACAGTAGTAATAGTCCCTTTTTATTTAGATATTTATTATCTATTATATTTTTATATTTATTATGCAATATTTATTTTCTACCAATATGTTTAAATACAAGTTAAAATACTGGTTTATCTAAATTGGTAGAAGGATGAAAATGAAAACATATGCAACTTGACCACAATTAAGGACAGTTCCCGCTGCATGAAAGACGTAGCCCTGGTTTAGCAAAAACTATCGATACCGAATATAGGTCAGGTTATACCCAGATAGTAAACCATTATTAGTCACGCATAAATACGTTTATCCCCTGTATATGCTGCAACTGCAGCTCTATCTCGCATGACGTCATACATTTCTTTTATGATCAAATGCACTCTCAACTTTGACCATTTTGATTTAGAACTCCTACCTACCAAAATCTATATTTGAATTCTAACTCCCTACCATACCTCTTATCCTACACCATTTCACCCCCTTCTGCAATGTCTTGTCAATGTCGTGTCTTCATAAAATTACTTTCATGGGCTGCATTAGGCTACGAAAGCAATAACAACATATGTCCAATAATAGACTTTTATGTATCAGTTACAATAACAGGAATTTTAACTACTTATCCATTTCTGATTTTTAAAATACATATATGTTTTAATTACAAAATCTAACGACACAATTGTACCACAATTGATACCCTTGATATCAAGCTACACCGCTTGGTTAAACAACTAGTAAGCTTTAATTACAATATCTTTACGTTGTATTTGTTTTACATCGCAATTCCGAAAATTAATTTTAAATAAATACTTATAATAAATAATTTTAAAATGTGAATAGATAGACACGTTAACATAACATACATATACTCGATACATATTTACAGTTTGTAAATTTATACGCAAGTAATATAAGAACTTGTAGGAACGCCCTCAAATAATCACTCCAATAAAAACTGTATTTAGCATTTTTTCGATATAGTTTTATATCTTATATAGTGTATTAACAATTATAAAGTAAACATATTTAATTAAACATAATTAATTAAATTTAATATTAACCTATTATTACTTACAAACAAATACAAATAACATTTCATTTATACACTTACTTTAAAGCTCCTCTAAGTTGCTCCTTTTCTGCCATTTCTTCCTGCAATTTTTGTTGCAGACTTAAAATTAAATCGTTTTTATTGTTAATTTGTAATTTAAGATGTGCTATTGTTTCCTCTTGTGCTTCGAAAATAGCCTAAAAATTAAATATTAAATTTTAATAGTTTTAAAAATTCATTAAATACAAACATCAACTCTACTTACCCTACATTCCTCCATTGATTCAGAGTATGTTGGTGGCTCATCCAAACAGAAGAATTCTCGAACCATTTTAAATTTACGTAATTCATCTTTAGCCATAATGGAATTGACAAACATCTGCAAACCTTGCACCCGATTATCCAAAAATACAGAATTAAAATTGTCTCCGAATATTTTTTTACGCGGCAGCATTAAAGTTACATTTGGAAAAGCTTGTTTTAATTTTGTATTGAGACGCACAAAATCTGTGTAGCGCCGCAGTACCAACCAACAGTCGTTAGTATGTGGATTCTCAACACGCAGTTTGTACACAGTAAAGCGTGCACGCTCTTCCATAACCTCGTAACCTATAATCGGCACTCGCACCACGCTGTTTGGCTGATCGGTGTTATTTGAGGATAGCGTCAAAGCACTTGATGACATGCCACTGGAATTATAACTGCACTCGCTCATGCGACGCCTATGCGGTACTGTCATCATATCATTAGAGGAATGTACATATGCAGACTGTGTAAGATCACGATGAGATCGAGCACCAGATATCATATTGCCTTGCTTTTGCCTTTGTGACGATATTGAATTTGTGTCGTGCGTTGTTGTATAACTGTGCGATGAAATTGTTTGCAAGCAAATTTCAGACTTAGCATTCGTAAGTCCACCACCAGTAGTATCAGTTAAGTTCCCAGTATAATTGGTTATTAATTTGTCAACATCACCTGCAGATTTTGTCCGCACCAAGTGAGCGCTTGCAGCTACGAGTCTATACAATTCTGTGGTTTGCTGCAAGTCAGGCGTAGAATGTATAGCGCGACCAAGTAAAATATGTTGCTTACGCAAACTATGCACTGAACTGAGAGTTGCGCTGGAGGAATTCACTGTTGCGTTATGTTTACTTGGCTTTGTATTTTTAGTTTTAGAACACACAGGCAAATTGTTAAAGTTTTTGGAGAACGTTTTTGGCTTGATTGCTGCGCTGGAGTTCAACTGATTTTCCCGTTTCTTAATTGCGCGTAAGGACATTCTTGTTTTTATGGGCAGTGTAGAGTTTTTGTATATATATATATATATTTAATTTATGCAAATATACCATTACAAAGATTTCATTACAAACATGCAGTAGAAAAACATTTTATAAAAATCGACTTTTAAAACAATTTAAACAACAAAAGAAAAACTTCACAAGCTATTATTCAAAAAGTGAAAGCCATCATATGTGCAAAAAAAATTATTGCCAAAAAAAAAATCGTTGGAAAGCAAATGAAAACACCATTAAAATTTTCGAGTCATTAAATTGAGAAATTTTCTTCCCAAATCAGCAGGTAACAGTGTTGCCTTTCAACATTTTTTCATTGTTTTGGAAATATAGTATCATCAAATGAAAATTGGGAGTAGATTTAACTTTTTCTGCATCGAAGAGATTTTATTACTTGTAAGTAGATTTGCAAATTGTGAGAGTTTAATTAATATATTTGAGCGCCACCATTGTCCATACAATTTTTGTAAACCGTACCATTCTGAACAAATGTTTGCTATTGTCTTAAAAGTCACAAATGTTATAAAAAAGCTGTAACCAACAAATTAACTAACTATATCTTTTACTTAGTTTTTGTGTCAGCAATACATTAATTGTATATAATAGATCTATTTCACGAGCTACTCGTAGTAACTTTGAGTAACACTGTAAAAGAGAACATCTGAAAGAGCGTAACATCCCTGTCGAAATTTGAAAATGCTACACAGACTTTACTCGTACATTTAATTTCAAACAAAATTTGTGTTGATGTGTGAATCAGCTGTTTTGGTTTGAGGTTAAATTTTGGTATTGTTTATTTGCGCAGCACTGGTGTTCTCACCAGACTTTACACAAAACTGTTCCATGAAAATCTGTACAAAGAGCATAATTTAGCACTTTATTTGTGTTACACTCTCAGTTTGTACTTTACTTGTGTTTTACTTGATTTTTATTACGAATAGCTCGTAGAACAGACCTAATACCTAATATTTACCACTAAGTAACAAATAACGTTGTGGTGTAGTAGTCTCGAAAACCAAGTGCAATAGTAAAAGTAGCGCAGTATGTCGAGTGCTATTGAAACATTAAAAAATCGAAATTATGTATTTTATTAAGAGTATAAATACATCTAACCACTCTGTTTAACCTTAATAATCTTACAACAAAGCCATGAAGTCTGCACTAAAATATATTGACAAATATCTTTAAGGTATCTGATGTGTAGGAAAATTAATTTGAAGTAACACTGGCACTCAGCAGCTGTTTGGATTTGTGACATAACCTTAACTGCTGGTCTCAGAGAGGTATACTTTATTTTGATGGTTATTATATTGGTGAAGTAAAAGAAAAATGAATATTTGCAACCTGGTTAAAACTACCATTAATGTACAAAAACAACTAACACGGCAATATGCATTTAAATCGGATTTAAAAATAAAATGGGTGCGACCGGAAAAAATATCTTGTATTAAACCCGAAAAAAGTGGAGACTGCACCAAATTACCGCCACTAAATCCTCAAGAATATATTCCTGAATTTCAAAATTCAAAGGAATTAGAAAAGTATGATAATAATTATTATAATAACAATCAATTTCTATTCTAACTAACTTTTAACTATTATAGTGCCGATCCTATAGTGCAAAGCATATTTCAAATGGGTAACTGCGAACACCACTACACTTCTAGACATCATCGTTTAACTATGATAAAGGAGGTGCAAAGACATTCTCTAGATTATGGTTCGATGGAAGCGAAACGTAAGTGTGCTTTTCATTTTAATATACAGTAAATGATCCAAATTTACAAATGTACTTAGTTGCGAGAATGACGGGTCGAATACGCAGCCTTCAGGAATATATGGAAAAATTCCCAAGAGATAAAAAGAAAAAAGTTATTTTAAAGGAGTTGATTGATAAACGTAAAAAGTTTCTAAAATATTTGCGCCGTTGGGACTATGCTCGTTTTGAATGGATATTAGAAAAACTTGATTTAGTATATAAACCACCACCAGAATATTTCCATTGGATAACACGCAAAGAATCATTACAAAAACTAACCAACACATATTGTGAAAATATTAAAGAAGCACGTTTAGAAGAGTATCGTAAAAAATTAGAAGATGAACAAATACCATTTTTAGAAGAAGCTATAAAGCAATTGAGTAAGGCACGTCAGGACCAAATAGATTGCGATGTCCCAATTACTATCACAGAAGAAAAGATAAATGAAATGAAAATTGATCTTGAAAATTTGAAAGTCATTAGAGCATCAAACATGTCTAACAAAAATGGTGAAGATCTGTTTTAAACTCAGTTTCATTTTTTTCAGCAAACAAACGATATAGTAGTTATACATAATAAAATATTTAATATATTAAAAATATGTTTCAATACAATATATGCAAATGTTAAAATACTTAACATATTAATTAAACTTATACCTATGAACTAAGTTCTAAATCTACCATACTCTATCTATGAGACTATTATCTTGAGGCTTATTATTTATTGGTTGATGGTAAGGCATACGGTTACTACGTCGAGGTTGTGCCAAATATTCAAACATGCTCTGTAGATGTTGCGACAACATTTTACTTAAATCACTAGGCATTGGATCAGTCCAAAAAAAATCATGGTTTAAAGCTGTGTCTGCATCTATTCTCTTTTTTGGATCAAGTGTTAAGAGTTTATCCAGTAGATCACACCCATTTAAGTCTTTAACATAAGGACGTAAACGTTCTTTAACCCTTCGTTTTTGATTCTTTAGTAGTTCTACAGTCTTGTACAGTTCTAATTCCTCAACTCCTGGCCATACATCGGGTGTAAACGAGCCACATAATTGCGAAATAAAGTTTAGTTGTTGCTGTTCTGTATTTCCTTGCATAATTGGAGAACGTGTCCACATTTCAGCCATTATGCAACCTGCGCCCCACATATCAACTGGAGGTCCATAATTTCGATCACCTAATAGCAATTCGGGAGGGCGATACCAGAGTGTAACCACACGATTTGTGTAACGATTTTTAGTATCATTCTTTGGTATACTGAATGCTCGCGCTAATCCAAAATCAGCTAACTTTAGTACGCCATGTTTTGTTATTAACACGTTTGCCGCCTTCATATCACGATGTAAGATCTGATTTATTAACAAACAAATTATTTCATAAGCACAGTTTAAGCATAAATTCAAATATTTATCTAACCTTGTTGCTGTGTATATAGTAAAGGCCATTTAGCAATTGCTGCATCACTTTCTTTATTTCACCCAAACTGAACTTTACGTTCATATTTGACAGCAGGCCGGCTAAATCGTGTTCACAAAAATCAAAGACCAAATAAAATGTGGAACGATATCCATTATTGGCAGTTGCTTTTGTACGGCATATTTCTATCAAATTCACCACATTTTCATGTTTTAGCAATTGTAATATTCTAATTTCACGCAATGCGGTGATTGGGAACTATGAAAAACAACAATATTTAAACACTATTAACTTTTTGAAAGAAATTTGTTGATTTGACACTTACACCTTCTTTTTCATTCTCCATTAGCACTTTTTTCATTGCAACGAATTTTTTATTACTTTTCTTCTCACGTGCCTTGAAAACCTCTCTAAATGTTTAAAAAGATATGAAAATGCATTGGTTATTACATTTATATGCAAGAAACTTACCCAAATGTCCCCTGTCCAATTTTGGCCACCTTTTCATATTTAGAGGATTCATCACAATATGCAAAGTCATATTCTTCAATAAATTTTTGTTTATCCAAAAGAGACAATGTACGCGAGGAACTTCCAGTAGATCCACTGCTGGATATTGATCCTACTGGTGCTATCATTGACGTCGATGACGAAGACATTTTTACACCATTTGTTGAAATTGTTATACGCTCAATAGTACAACATGTGTGATTTGTTGTCAACATATGTAGCAGCGATGCTCCTGTGGAAGCCATGTTTGTCCACTTAAGGGTTGCAATTTTTCGTAGTATTATTTATATTTGAAAGTTACCTTAATTTTCAACTGAAAATAATTGCGAGCACACTGCGTTGAAAGGCTCTGCTGTATTTGACTAAAATTGAGAATTAAAATTAGTTTTTTTAACAGTTTTCACACAGTTAACTGCATTTACGCAGTATTTTACGCATGCTTTGATGCAGTTGAACAGATGATTAAGCAAATACATGTACAATATTATCCATGCATCATTTTTTGTTAATGATATATCATACATTTGACATTTACACATGCATTTTATTCTTAATCTGAGAATGAAGGTGTGAACAGCGAAAGGAAGAAACCTATGTGTAATTTATTATTTTTGAATTTTACCACATTTACCAAAATAAATGTAAAATTACTTACCAACACTCTTTTTCTTGTTTTTCTACAAACACACAACCAAGCAGAGTTCATGTATACGAATATTCATAATGTCTCCATTTAGGCCATTTTAATACCGTATCTTCCACACCATTCAATCGTCGTCTCATATTTTAATATATTAATACCGTTAAATGTGAAGTATACGTGCTATATTTAACTTAAACATGTTTTATAATTACTGAAATATCACATATCATTTAAAGCATGTTATAGACGTTTTAAAGTGTATAGGAAAGCGTATACTTGGTCTTCATACTTGGTGTTCATACATGTAGCAATTTATTAAATATATATTACGATATTTTTATACACAATTGTAATTAAATGCTTTATTTACAGAAATTTATCAAACACACCTACCAAAACACAATAAGAGGAACGTCAAAATTAATCTCCAATCTAATGTAAACGGTGGAGATTAAAAATGCTGATTAACTTAATATCGTTCCCTTAATCTCATAATGTAAACATAGTATAAGCATGGGCGTAAATTATTGAGATTGAGAGATAGTGAAGTGGGTGAACTATAGCGCAAGCGCAGGGTTACTAGCGGTAGACTCTGTGACCAAGGTCACGAGAGCCGCGATTATAGAGGGAGATGAGGGAGGGATTATCGAAATAAAGAAAGAGGTGTTGGAGGGGTATATAGCGCAAGACCTGGACAAAGTCCACGGAAGAGTCCTGTGGAAAAAGATGTCGAGGTGGAAGTTGTGTTGCCAGGTAAGTTACCTTCGGTAGAGTGGAACTAGGTACTGGTCGATGCGAGTAATTTTGGCTGAGCCAAAAAGTGTAGAGATGGAATAGTGTATGCCGTTAGACTTCTTCCATCTGAATGGAAGGGATTGTACACCAAGTAAGATAAGCGTACAAGAACCGGGGGCGAATGAGCTTTTTATAACAGAGCAGCTTAACTTTGCAGTTGCGCTTGTTGTGTTTGCGAAGGGCAGTTTTAAGTTGAGTATGCCTAAACCGAGTGTTGTGAATGGCATAGTCAACGTGAGGGATGAAGTTGTGCTGAGAAGATAGCACAATACAAAGTTATTTTAGCTTGGTCACAAGCCGAATGGAGGTGATGACAGAGGAGTCGATGCCACCGGTATGATCCCGGTATGGCCTTGAAGATCTATGACTGATATCTTACCGGTGTTGAGCTTAATCTTTTCCACCGGGTGTAATAATCAAGGAGGGTCTTAAGGTGGGCATTCAGGTCGCAGGAGATGCGTGTGGCACTAGACGACCGCATAAATACAAGGCAGTCGTCAGCGAAGCAAATTTGCTTAACAGTGGCCTGGGGGAGAGCAGTGTCTTCTCTTCGATTTTTTATATTCTTTTATAAGTTTCTTTTCTAACGTATCTTCTGCTGTTGTTGTTATTCATACGATATGTAGCTCAGCTTAACAAGTTCTGTGTTTACACTCAACGGAAAATGGTTAGTGTTGTCGTTAAAATTTACACCCGAGGGAATGATTGATAATAGTAAGTTTATTGTTGTGATGACATCGTTGCTTATTATGTTATAGTCGTCATACCACTAAAATTCAGTTGGTTAGAAATATTTCTCTTTCTCTTACCTAACTATATATGCTCTGGTTAAAATTTAAGTAAATAGCACCAATATATTGTGAACAAGCGATTTAACAAAGGGTTAAAAATAATCAAAAGTAAAAGGACCGACTTTAGTGTCTTATTAGATTTTACCATAAATAAAATTCAAAATATCATGATCAATAGATTCAACAAGTAGTTAAAATAACCAGAAGTGTAAACCTAAGATCGTAAATCTTAATGAATTTTAACATAAATAAAAAGGACCTCGAACCTTAAGTTTTATTTTTTTTAATATATCATTCACAAAATTATTCGCATCATTACAATTAAAAATATAGAATATTATATATGTGAAATATTTTTAAAATTAAAAACTATTGAAACGATATAAACGATTTAATTGAAACATTATTATACTAAAACAATTTATTTGCAGTATCAGTTTATAATTTTTAAGTTGTTTTTGATAAGAACTAAAAAATAGCTAATGATGAGTGTCGCTATATAATTATGTATTGTGTATACGACACAAAATATATTTATAAATTATCCAACGAAATATTCCATGGTAGTATTGTATTATAAGCATTCTGTATCGGATCCATAGTGGTAGTATCATTTTATATCTTAAAGACTATTAACAGACTAGTGCCCAACGCAGGATTAAATTACAGTAATTAGAATGAAAGAGGCAAAATGAAGTTGAGCAAATCCATTTCTATAATACTGTGCAGAATAAGCTAGTTATTGGCTACTGTATTCCATGAAATTGGAGGACAGTGAGAGTTATGAACTACTTCAGTGAGCGATTGTAGTTTAATCGTGCGTTGGGCATAGAACGAAACGATTTCATGCAATCCATAAGTACAAACCAAAAAGGAGAAGAAAACACATTCATGCAATTATATAGAATAGATATAACTATTTCGTCCTAGTGCATAATCAGGCAAAGTTGCAATTGAAAAATACTGTTTTTTTGAAAAAATGTATAATTAATAAGAAAGCAATATTTGGACAGCAATTTTATTTTCAAGCACATTTTGTTGACTTATTACTGTAGTAGTTAACTTTTAAAAAGAAAAAACTAATATACAAAGCACAAAATTAAATAAAATTATGAATAAAATAAATTAAAAATCTGCAGGCCATTCCAATGAAAACAAAGTCAATTTTGAAAAGTGTAGATTTGGTTGCAGGTATTATTGATAACATAGGAAAATTAAATTAATTCTGACTATTTCGAAAAATTAACGCCTACGAGAGCGACTGCGTGACCTAGAGCGTTTGCGGTTGTTAGATGTTGGAGAACGGCTGGAATCATTACGCTTATTTAATAAGCTACCTCGTTTGAATGATTGAGATGAAGAGATAGACGATGATCGAGATCTGGTACGTGACTTAGACTGCTGATCTATTTTTTTGGATGATGTGTTAGATCGTTGTGAACTTGATTTAGATCGTTCACGGGATCTACGTCCTCCTAAGAGAATATTACTTGTTGATTTTCCAGGTGAGCGAGATTTTCGAGTGCTGCTCGAAGTTGATGATGAAGATGATGAGCTGGAAGATGTTGATGAGGTAGAAGATGTCGAGGAAGTCGATGTTGATCTGGACGTATGGGAAGATGATCTTGAGCGAGACAATCTTTTATTATTAGTTTTATTTTCGGTTTTCACTTCCTGCGCATTGTTATTGCTTTTCGGTGATGTATTGGTAGGAGCATCATCATCACCCCATAAATCATATTTGGAAAGATCCTCATCACCATCCTCTTCATCGTCTTCTTCGCCTTCATCACTGGTTTCAAGTTTTTTATGCTTATTATCAGAATTGTTGTCTTTACTTGCAATTTTACGTTTTTTCAGTCTACCAAATTCATCGTATTCACTATCAGATTCCGAACGTTCTTTATATTCGACAACACCACGATCGTTATAACCACCACCGTAACCTAATAATAAAATTTATTATTTTCAATTTCTGAGCTATATTCTGAACAATGATTCTCTAATACGACGTTCTTAAACTCACCAGTCCTTTCTTCATCACTGAATTTGGGGGCGTTACACATATTACAAGTCTGTCGACGCGCCCAATTGACATTGCCACATTTATTACATTGCCAATCTTCAGCGCTAAAAAGACCCCTTGATTTTTCAGCCGCCGCTTTTCCAATTTCTGTGCCCAACTTTTTCTTTGCCGGTGTTGCACCACGTTCAACGCTACGTTCACGTTGGCATTTATTACATTGTGTACGCCGCGCAAAGTTTAAATGGCGACAGCTGCAAAAGAAATATGCAAATTTTCATTATTAACATATGTCGTTTTATGCCAAACATGTCTTCAAGGTTGGCGTTGTGAACAAAACTTGACCACGATGTGTTTTGTTACTTCACTCACTCGCTATCACCACATATCCAGTCACCACTGTCTGGCACAACAGCAGACATTTTATCGATTGTCCAAAGCAATTTTGTTAAGAAACTGATTTAGAGACTTTAATTTCAAAGATTTTTTTAAATACATAAACTTTCTGTAACAGTTTATTCCATTTAGATATAATAAAAAAATAAATGCATTAGCTTTTTATATATTATCCGGTCGTCGACAAAAAGAATTTGGCTGAAAAAAATAAGACGACAAACCATAGAAACGCTTCTTTTTGTCATTTTGACAGTAATGGCGCTTTTGTCGATAGTACAGTGCAACATGATACACATTTGAAAATAAAATTTTTATTTAAAGAGTTCAATACATTTATTAAGAGGTACATTAAAACATCATTACATGTAAAGCATCATTCCAATTAATTTAAAACGAGTAAGCTATTTTTTAAAATATACGTTTTTAAATAAGTATTCATTTGATAAAAGTTGTTACTCATATTCTTACTGAAATAAAATGAAAATATAAATATATCTTAGTATATTGCAACTTCAGTATATTGCAACTTTCAAATGAATTAGCAACTAAAATTTTAACTTTCATAGCTAAAGCAGTGCAGTGAAACAAAAAAGAAACTAAAAGCAATTTATATTATTTTATATTATTGTATTTTTAAAATTCTATTTTCCATAGGTGTGCTGACATATTTTTTCATTGTTTACAGTAAATGATAAGACAATTAATAATATGTTAGTCAATTTTTCCATTTCTATTCTGCATTTATTAATTAAATTTTATAGTATGTTTAGAATATGTAATATCAAGTCTAATAAACCATACAAAATAATTACAAAACCCATGCAGTTGTACGAGATTCACACGTAACGTTTTTTTTTAAGTCTGTCGTCTCCTTTATATTAAATGAGATGAAATGCAATTCATTATAATTCACAAATTCTTTTGCCTTTTATTTTGATACTGAAAGCACAATTTTTAATATCATTACTCTTAAGTATAATACTAAGTATTACATAGGAATATAGGAAAATTGGGAACTGAATTTTTTATTCAATTTATTGTCAAAGATTTGCCCATATGAACACCATAGAACTTATAGCAAACAATATTGAAAATCTTTAATTGGCAATAAAGAGCAGTTTTTAATTTTAAAGCTATAATAATATAAACCACCAAAATAAATGTTTTATGTGTGACAAATAAGAATTCTACGAAAAGACATCATAAAGCATTTTGAACGTGCATGGCATTAAATTTATTAATTATAATTTTTTATTTGATTCTATACATAAACCATTTCAATCCATATACCAATTAGAAAATATCTGTATTCCTTATTTCTGCAGTCAAAACCAATTCATCCCATGTGCCAAGTAGAATATATCTATCTTCGTTATTTAATTCTGTAGAAACACATTCAACGCCTCACTGTTGGAGATCAGAAGAGATCAATTGACATTATGCATAGCAAGCTAGAGAACATCAACAAAAAGTAAGATAAAACGATGGATAGATTGTATAAATTATAGGCTTTATAACTTAGGTACTAATGACTTCGATTATAAAGTGGAATCAGAGTGTAATCGTTTGAGTCCTATAAGAATTAAAAACATGAAATTAAGTGGAAAGTTTGAAAATTATGCAGCATAATAAAACAGTGCAGTATCTGTTTGTTTTGACATCGTAAACCGCCTTATCGATGTAATACAAATCTAACGATACACTGCTTCTTTTCTGACATTTGTTATTAATTTACCTGAGTGCAGGCCGTTAAAACTTTACCTGATTTTTGTTTCTATTTCTATTTTTTTTGTATATTGTTTAGTATAATTCTAAAAGTCTGATGACTAAGTTTTTTTATTAATATTGTGAAATAACTCGGGTTAGTTAAGTGCATTGTTACAAATGGCTTCTTTAAATGTTATGTGTGCAATTTGCGCTGAATTCTATAAAAGTACTGATTATGTCTATTCAACTACTTTTTGCGGTCATTTATTTCATCAACAATGTTTGCTTCATTGGTTAACGCGTGCCCAAAATTGTCCCCAGTGTAAAAGGTTCTGCAATCGTAATCGAGTACATCGGGTTTATTTGAACTTTGGTGAACGTACTGCTGAAGATGATGCCCTTGATGAAGAACTGTCGAATTCACCTATCTGGTTGCCACTTGAACCACCTACACACAATGGACCAGAAAAGATACCAGAAGGTGCTATTAAAGCAGGCAAGGATCAAAACGGAAATGATATTTATGTTGCAAGAGTATACTACGCTGAAGATTTGTTACCGGCTAACTATATACCAAACGTTGGTGGTGCTTATACTCCCTATGGCTGTGATGCACATTTTGTGCGTAATGATGTTGAAGTATTAGTCGAATGTGATTGTGAATGGATATCTGCTGCTAATGGAGATGTACCGCCCAATGCTATTATAACAGGTTATACAAGTTCTGGCGAACATCTCTACACAGGACGAGCACAATACAATAACATCATGCTACCGGGTAAAGTCCATCCATCACATAAAGTATTATATATGCCATATGAGGGTAAAGAGGTTAACGTAAAGGAATACGAGGTGTTAACATTGATACCAAAAGAAAAAAAAAACAAAACTAAGGAATAATTTTTTAGAATCTACATTTCAGAGATGTCTTGTGCAATTCTTATTAATATGCTTTTATATTTAAACGAATCTCGTATATAAAAATAAAATTTTAACAATAAACGCCTAGCAAGTGTAAAAAGTGATATATAAATAAAAATTATAATTGTTATTGGAATAAAATAATGTCTAAATAGTAAATATTATTTTCTTAAGGGAGCGGGGGAGCGAGGAAATTTACATAATTCTTATGCAAAATCTACATTATAATAGCGTGAAAATATTTGTGGCAGGTTAAGTAAGTTTGGAGAATTGAATTAAATCGCTCTATTCTCGACATAGCATCTAATTCATACTTCAAGCTAAGCGAGCTTTGTTTAACGAAAGCAACCTACCAAAGCGAATATCGCCTGGTAACAGGTACACTGTAATAAAAAGGTAGATATTTTATACTCGTCCAGTTCTGACCAACAATTCTGATGTCATTGGATGATGACCTCATCTAATCAGCTTACTAAACCATGATACATTATCTATTATGTTAAAGATCAATTTTTTCGTATTTATTTTTTCTATTCTGTTCATGACTGAGTCTATTTTAAAATCTGTGCTTGAGTTGACATATTTAAACTATATTTTGTCAATATAAATTAATACTAACAGAAGTAATGTGCTGATAAGGTGAAATATATCACAATTAAGGATGTGTTCAAATTTCGTAAGAAATAACATCTTGAGCTTTAAACAGTGCTTGCTTGTCACAAGAAGTAGCCCTGTCAAATATTCATTTAATACTGAAGTGGGTAGCACATGTTATCGCGTGGAAAATGCTTTATTATTGCATTGTTATCAGAGAGTTTGATTTAAGACCAAAAGTAGACAGTATTACAATTTTGAAAATAAAATACGGACTCCTACTAGATACAGAAAAGTGTCATGGTTTTAGCCTGACCTATTAATAAACAATGTGATGTCCAATTGTGTCAGTTACAATCTGCTGACGCACATAAGGGATCAATTGGAAGTAAATGAGTTGGAACAAATAATACTTTAGTTGAAATCATACATGAGGCTCCTATACTGATGATAGTAATAATCGGTATAACCCTGACTAATGTTTTAGTTTTGTGAGATTGAAAAACATAGTTTGATTAACCATTTAAAAATTTTCAGAAAATTAGACTTAATCAGTAAATAAGATTTTTACATTGAAATTATGGTTTAAATAGCTCTAACGACAAACGATTCTAGAGCAACTGATAGATAATAATTATTATTTATGTGGTGTATAAGTGTTTTGTAATGAAATTGTCATTTTTGCGTCAGATTACTCTTCACTGTAATCTATTGAATGTCATGAAATATCATCAAATTATAAAGAAATTAACTATGTGATAGATTTCTCATTAAGATAGTGAATTCCACAATTCTAGAGTAGAAAAGAGTAGGCGCATAGGATTTGAAAGAAGCACAGGTCGAGATAAAGAAACCTTGTTTTTACAATGAAGTAGAACAGTATATCAATGTATATCAGTATATCTCTTTGAAAATGTCTCTACCTCGGTGTGTAGTCCTTATCAATAGTAAATCCGTGTGACGTTGACACGATTGTTGTAGGTGTCGATGTATTTATGACACGAAAGAAGAAATCAACAGATGCAACGTGAGCCGAGAGCTCTACTTACTGTGGTCTTCTTATGATGTTCACTTGTTCGGTACGCAACGAAAAAGTGTTTCAGCTGTGATTATACTCAGATTTATAAATTCCACGTGAATATGGTTAATATGCTCTGTTGGTTAACAATTGACAGTTGATCTTGCAGAGTTGTGAAGTTATATTAATGCACCATATGGCTGAATAAGTTGTTCTACTGCTTTGTATGTATCAAACAGAGATTCTAGAGCACATTAAACACCCACAATTATGGGCAGACTGACTTCAATATCGACCAATATTGCAATGGAGCCTACATCAGTGAGGTCGAATATAAACGTGGACTTATAGCACTCCACACCGATGCAGTATCTTCTTCGAGACCTAGGTTGACTCCCAACAAGGTCCTCAATAGGCCTCCGCCTAACATCTCTCAGGATGAACGTAATCTTCCTCGTACGGCAAGAACTGTCCTATCTCAATTGAGATCAGGATATAGCCATGTGCTTAACAGTTACTTGTCACGTATTAACACGTCCATTCCTAATGTGTGCCCAAGCTGCAGCTCCACGCCCCATGATGTCGCCCATCTGTTTTCTTGCCCCAACGCACACACCAATTTAAGTCCAATTGATCTTTGGACTCGTCCCCTTGAAGTGGCTAGGTTTCTTCGACTGGATCCTGGTTAGGTTCAAAATTACTACCACCCCTCCCCTTTCCTTCATCCCAACACTCACTCCCACCTTTTTCCATTCCTTATCCTATGTATTCGTCTTGTAATCCTTTCATGTTATCTGCTTTCAGGTCCCTGCGGGTTACAACAACAACAACATGGGCAGACTGATTTCACCCAAGGATTTTGGCTGTCATGATAACGTTTTCAGTCTAGAAAGTAAAATGGGTAACCGAATTATTTGTTAGTAATAGGTGAAGATTTCTAACATCGAATACAGAGTGCCCTATGAAAAATAAAAATTAATTTTGTTGAATAATATTGAGGCATACTGGCTCGTAAGCATATGTTCCAACTCTGACTCTTTTTGCTTGATCAAGTAAAGCTTATTTAAGATCGTGAAAGAAAATTGACTAAGGAAACACTCTAAGTCAGCTTTAATATTTTAACTTTCGCCATGTCTTATAAAATTGACTATTTTATCGATTTATTGAGACTATAGTGGATGTTTTAATCACGTCATTGAGTAAAGCAATATAGAAGACTATGTTAATTGCGAGGAATGATTGCGATGAAGGCCTTAAGAAATTTGGGACATGCGTTACACATAATCGTATTGGTTATAAATCGTTTCTCTTCAAAAATAATTTTTCAATTTAACAATTATTTGCTTTCTATGCTTACATTTTAAATTTATTTAAAATGAATACACATTACATGCCATATGTTTTCTTAATTTCTTATATAACTTACGTTCTACTTAATAAATTCATTAACCTATGCATTCTGTTTTTGTTCTAACATATCATATACAACATTCTCTCTTTAAACAACTGAACTCTTTATATATTATATACAATTTTCTAATATAAATGTAATATTTCGTAATATAACAAAATCAACTTCTTAAGTATCAACATTTTAAAAGTTGCGATATATATTTTCAGTTCTATTATTAATTATAAAAGTATTTGTTCTATATTATATTTTTAAAGAAATGTATAGTTTTCCATATAAAATTATATTGAGTGAAATTTAAAACGATATTTGATATTTGATGTTGATTAAAAATGCTCTTATAAATTACTAAACTGCGTTTTTTAATGAAGTATATTTCATATATGGTAAGTTGAAAACGATTTTTAATAGAATATGCTTGGCATATATCTGGGTTGGTTTTCTTTTTAATGTCTGCCTTTTTTGCTCTAAATAATCAACAAGTGAGCGTATTAGTTTTGTGGTCACATGAATATTTGAAAATTTTTGTATTTTCAATATATTCATTTTACTTAAAGTATTATAATTATATTTATTTATATTTCTAAACATAATGAATGGCAACAGTTTAACATAATTTTGTTTTTCTGCAATGAACGTGCACAAGTATATTATTTTAAAATATTTAAAATAAACATGAATTATTGCTTTCTATATATCTATGTTTTACATATATAAAATGAGCTTTTAACGTAATTTAATTTTATACTTATAAACTTATTACAAAAACATACATTCAATAAAAATTTTTGTGTTATTAATGTATATTATAATTTTACTACAACTTTATTATAATTATAATTATTATATTGGTGTAATAGTTATTACATCAATAGTTATTACACCAATAATCAAAAAAACTACAGTAATAGTTATAGTATAATTATAATAACAATTATAGCAATAATTATAATAACAATCACATTAAAAATTATAATAATTACATTAAAAATCAAAATAATATTAGTTCAAATAATTACATTTATAATTATAACAAAAATTAAAAACATTCTATACTCTAACATCAATTTCAATTTTATGTGCTATAAGAAAATAAAATAATGTATCTCGTAGTGCTATATCCATTATTATTGTTTGCATTATGGGATTAGGTTGGATAAACTAAATAGTTTGATATCTATGCGCTTTATGTAGCATCCTGGATAGTCTTAAAGTTGAATGAAGTCATAATTCTCATTTGTAGGGAACAATATTATATATTTATTGTATATATATATATATATATAAGATCGTATATGATCGCTGTTTTAAAATTCATTAAAAGGAATTCTATTTTTATAAAGATTAATGGATAAAGATACATTGTTATAATTGAGAATTTTTAACTGTTACTGTTATTGAAACGTTGACTTACATTTTTTAAATAATTTACAAGTAAACATTGTAATTTATAATTGTGCTTATAATCACTGCTTTTAATGAAGTTTTAAATTTAAATGAAGTTATAATTCTCATACGGTTTGTAGCTGTTATTGCTATAAAAATCAAATTGAAAATTTCACGTTGTTTTTAACATGTATGGATGATTGTTCATATATATATTATTTATATATATACAAACAAAAACAATGATTTTTTATATATATTTTTTAAATAAAAAGTATTTATACATTTTCTAAAAAACAGTTACATTTAAATAATTATATTTATGTATATTAGTATACAAGTATTTATTTATACCAAATACACTATTAAAATTTTAAATTAATTTTTGTAGTTGTTACACCCACAAACTATATGAGAATTAAAAATTAAATTAGTTTTTAAACTACACAGCTAACCAATTGGTTGCACAAAGAATTTATACTATTTCGTTATATTAAACTATTCAGATATTTTAAGTATTCGAACTGTCTCATTGAAAACTGTTATCTAAAAAAAACTCTTCAAATAAAACCAACTAATTAAGTATATCTGGATACATGGACTATTTGAAAAACTGAAATTATCCGGATACCGACAACCCTAGTATTTAGTATGATCGATTAAGTCTGTTATGCATTATGCTATTGCTAAAAAATACAGTCAACGATTTTAATATTGTGTGCGCAGGATTTAATTTTTTTTGTTATAACTTTATGTAATTTACCTATTTTTATTTATACAATTTAAAATATTATTTTGATTTCAAAAGCATATAGAAGTGGTCAAGTAAATCAAATAACATTTAACTTACTTAATACTTGAATAATTACAGTTTTTTATGGAAATACTAAAAAAGCATAACATGATAATAACAATTCGAAAATAAATTCTATTATAGAATTAAATATTGATATTGATACATTCGTACTTATCTTATGTCACTATGGTTACTATAAAACTATTTTTATTATTGACAAATTTGTTAAGGAAAAAATGCGTTCCCAAAAAATTGTAAATCATCACAAAAATATATAATAATTAATTAATTAATTTAAACAAGCAAACTTAAAATAGAATATTTCAATAGTGTATGAAAGCATATATTAGTATTTGCTGTTTTTTATTTTTTAATATTAACCCAAGTTATGCTTTTTTTTCTATTATCTTTAATATTTTTTTCTTAGCTTTATTTTTCTTGATTCGTTTTATTTTCTTTACTTTCATTTTACTTACGTCCTTGTGCTTTTGAGATAAATCTCATTTCTTTGATGACAAATATTTCATATAATCTGTTGTTTGTCTGGCATTACGTACCAATTCTTCGCTATTATTCTCCTTTGTATCCCAATTGCTGTTATCTTTATCATTCCAGTCTTCATTTTGCGCATACTGTTTGTGTTGTTGATTGTGACGATCCCTATAATGGCGTTCCAGAGTGCTCGATGCATCACTTACCAAACTACTTTGACTACTGTAACGTTGATTGCTGTTGTGACGATTTCGCGTATTACGTCCGCGACGGTACTGATTTTGTGTTGGGCTAATACTGCGTCTATAGCTATTATTTGTGTCATCCATATTTGTTTTTGCTGGACGTGGAAGAGTGCGAGCACGTGATGAACTACGACTATTTGATTCATAATTATTGTCATGATGAGGATTGTTATGATACATATCTGAACGACGCCACGATTCGCTAAGAATCTTATCATCTTTATTGTAATTGTTGTATTGTTCTTTTTGTTGGTGTTTAAGAAAACGTGGCGGTTTATCATAAGTCTGACGGTTTCCATAATTGCGACCACCGCGCCTATTATTATTGTTGCCACGTTCATAATTACTCATGTAAGAACGTTCGCTACGATCATCATACTGCGATTGCCGGTCCCAATTTGAGTTCGCAATTGAGTTGTGTTGATTTCCAATCCGACGCTCAAATTTCTCTTGTGAATGCTTCAAACGATCGTTAACGCTATAAAGACGTATGTTGCCACCATCGCTACGTACACTGTTATGATCATCATCGAAACTGCCACTTAATCTGCGTTGTTGATGTCGGTGATAGCCATTTTGTTGTTCAGTGTTATCTCTATTAAATCTAGGAGTGCGCCAACGTGGAAGAGGTTTCGATTGATCACGTTCTTCCCCACCAGAAGATTCTTTATGCTGGTGAGACTCAACACTGAAAATATTTATATTATATTTATTTATGAAATGTTTATATTACAATAATTATTTGTATAAAATTTATGGGTAACCTTGTATAACATATATCCCTTTTGTAACGCAAAAATTTATTTGGCTTATTGAGTTATTGAGAATTTTATTTATTAATTTTTTTAACTTAAAAAATTTAATTACTGATTGTCAGGGATCCACATTGTCGTTTGATATGAAACGTTCATAAAACACACTTGGGATTAAGATTTCTATTAAACTTTGATTTCAATATACCATATTGTTTGGACCTTGTAATTAATACCGAATCCTTTTGAACAGATTTTCAACGAATTATCGGCACATGTAGCTTGCAGTAACTTGAGGTTTGTTTTGTAATCGTCGGCGACGAAAGTTTGAGAATTGTCCACATAAACCAAATCTTACAAATAAGTGTGACAAATGACATGAAGTGGATGGCCGATACAATTTATTTTAAGAGAATTTGATCACTTTCAACGGTTGTTAAACAATCCATACTACAAAATGGCAAATTTTGAGGTAAACACTTGATAATTTGGAGGATTATTAAAACTAAAACTACGAATTGGCTAACTCTACATAATTATTATTATAATATATATAAATATATATATATAATAATATTATTATTGTATAATGTTTATTTTTTCAGAAATTTATTAGTACTTACTTTTTATCCATTACACTATGTTCGGTATTATGTAGTGGACGAGGACGTGTTCCAGTTTTAAATGAACGTTTAGAACTTTGACTTATACTACGCTCATTATCATTTGAATTCCCACTAACATTTAATTCATTTTGTTGTAATGAATCTACTGCTAACTCATCTGCTCCTCCGCTTCTGTTTTGAGGATTACTACATTTGTTACTTTCAACTTCCCACAACGAATCCTCACAAACTTGTTCACTCCATTTTTTTGTGGACGGTTCATTTTCATAAGAATCGTTAACTAGAGCTTCATCATCACCATTGCTGTATACATTATTTTGTATATGTTGTTCAGCTGGAAGCATATTTTGTGATTGTTGTACGTTAGGATCATAGGATTGATGTTGTTGTGACAGTGCATTAAAATTATTATTATCTTCATCATCATGTTCCGTAACTAAGAATTTTGTATATAATTCTTCTAATTGGGCACCCAAATTGGTAAAATTGCTATAATACAAATCTAAAGTCATAAGTAATAAAGCCTTTACAGCCGATTTTAATGATTGCTGTTCAATAACATTTCTTCTTATGTGGTAGAGTAGTTGTGTTAGCTCTGGCTTATGTCTTATTCGCATTATATCTCCATTTAGTGTAATTTGCGATAGAATAACTTTCGCTAGTTTAACACTTATATTATCAAGCCCACTAATTTCTCGTATCATAAGTCCTAGCAGTGATTCTCCCAATATTGATATTGGTGTGTTATCCGCTAAACGCACACGATGATAGTACTCTCCTAATAATGTTATAGAATTATAAAGACGATTCCTATCTTGTATGCGATATGTGTCGGCATTTATGTAGTTTGCTTCTAATATTTTAAGCATGGCACTGCGAACTTTAGTTTCCTTCATCGCTAATGCATCAAAGTTCCGCGACGAAAATAATAACGCAAATTTAAGTGCTGTTTCACCATCTGCTAACGCTTTATCATTGATATATTCCATTGATTCACTATAAAAAAATTAATAAATTTATTAATTAATATTACCAAAATCTATTTAAAAAAAAACGTATTTTGTGTGTTTCAAGAATAATTAATCAAAAAAAAAAATTGAAACAAATAGAAAGGAGTAGAGTACAAAATATTGTGCACCAGAAGGAAACTATTGGGTTCACCTTAGTAAAATCACAGAAATCTTTGCTTTCTTCTGTTAACTCTGTTACAACTTTTCTGCTTTGCATGGAGTTTTAGTTTTCTGCTTTGCTTACTATCCAATTCCATGAATTTAAAAATGAATTTTATATAAATTTTTTATTGTAAAAATGGTTAAAATTTAACTTATCTTAAATTTTACTTGCTGTTTTTGTGACTTCGAGTTGGTTGGAAAAAGTGAGTAGCATTTGGTTGTCTATGGGACGTGGACGTAGACTGATCTTGCAACATTTGATTTGATTTAGATAAAGTTTTTTGTATTTTCCAGTATCAGCTATCTTTAATTTTATTTGTTGTTATAAATCGAAGACGCTTCCTGATTTTTTTCCTATTAAGATGGAAGAATGACACTTAGTTGCCTGTAAAGTTTCCCCCGGGAACATTTTATTTTACTTAATGTACTCACAGAGGTTTCTTATTATTAAAGCCATGCAATGGACTTGCAAACTGAGTTCCTGACAATAATTGAGATCTGCACTTGCTAATATACACTAACTTGTAGCATATTTTAATTGAATTTTTTGTAGAATAATGAATCATTCTATAAAAACAATATATGTGATATTCAAAATTTCTATCAAATTAAAAACACAGTCCCATATTTCTTAAATTGTCTTAAAACAATGATGTATATGGAAATCTTCTCTCTACATTCTATGAACATATAATATACAGTTCATAGTTCTTAGAAATTATGTTTCCTGATTGTATATTAATGACGTCTTTTTGAATGAATAAGATAATGTATCATATTAGTTGCAAGTAGGTCTACTCTGGCGAGTAATCTTTACTGATAACTTAATACTGTTATATCTTCTATCTGAGTCAACTTCTATCAACTATAAAAGTTCGGTAGTTCGTAAGGAAAACAAATTATGAACGCCTCTGCAAGCCCTAAAGAATTATACAGGTTACATCAACAAGAGCATCGGAATTGTGATACGGAAAGCATGCAACTATAGAAAAACGTGTTTTTACTACCTTAATCTGCTTTTATAGTACGCTATACAATAAAATTTTCAACTTAAAATGTAATATAAACATTTTTATTATATTCTAATAAAAAAATTTTTAAAAGCACGTTGCTTAATTAATAATTTATTCTTACTTTAATTTTAATTAATCTGCTTTGGAGCAAATTGATTTCCTGAAGAGGTTAACGACCGTTTGCCAAAGCAATTACCGCGGTGCACATAAACAAATAATTTTACTCGCATTAAAATTTTTTGATCGTTACGGAAGGTCAGCAACTGCTGTCACAAATTATAATAATCTGTCATCACCCCTTACCTCGGTAGTAAACTTGTTAAATATGTATATATATATATATATTAATGTTTATGATTTTGTAAATTGATTTCACAATTCGATTATAAAAATTTGAGCAGTTATTATGCTTAATCTTAAATATTATTTAAAACATTCTATATGAGTTAAGTTCCTAATGAACACAATACATATTCAATTCTTATGTGGGGTTAAGAGTGGTTGGGACGATCGAAATCGTTTTCATCGTTAACAATAAGGTCAGTCTAGCAGGCTTTTCCAAGCGCGAAGAGACACCAGGGACTACAAAAATAAACTATTCATAATTAATTGCAAATTAAAAAACGTTAATGGTAGTTCGAAGTTCATCATAGTTGTGTCGAAAAAATTATAATACTTAACACTACGTTACATGATAAAATTATATTTATTTATATTTACCATAACTGCTCCTCATCGTGCACAATATTACAGAAATCTGTTTCAATGGATTTTATTTTATGGTTCATGGCAATCCCATCATCCTGCAAATTTAATCCTCGTATCATATCAATAATGTGATCATAGTTCATATATTGTGATGCTGCACTATTTTGTGTGCTTGGTTGTATGTAATTGCAGGCATTATTGCGAAGGTTACCAGTGACATTGACACCTACTAAACCACCGCTTCCATTATTGTCGTTGCTGTTCATAACATTTGCCATATTGGTATTGGTTTTGTATCAGTTGTTTTTATTGCCGCTTATTTTGCTTCAGTTCCAATATTATTTCTTTGTTTTTTTTTCACGTATAAAATATGATTAAAGACGCAAATACCTTAAGGAAGGTAAATCTCAACTTGAGTTTCTTTTACTTATACTTTTGTGTTGGCACCATGTATTTTCTTCTTAAGCTAGTAATTAAATGCTTTAATTTATTTTTCAATTTAAAAATATTTTTAATTATTTACAAAAAAGTAATGAGTGCTAAAAATTAATTTAATTAGACAAGTAAAATGCAAACTTTCATAGGTTAAAAATGTTGTTGGTTCTTTCTTATAGGAAGAATTCCATTCATAAAGGAATGTCAAAAAAATGCGCGTAAAGTTCGAGTCTTGACATCGATAAGGCAGTATGTACGAAATTCAAACGAATGGTATAATTTAAAGATTATATCTTCCTTTTTCGATACTGTTTATATTTTTATTATTATTATTGTGTTGGTTTTTATATTAATATTAAATATTACTATTAAATAGAAAAATTTAGAATAAATGTTATTTATAATACATTTTTTTTCGAAAAAGTATACATTCTAAATTTTGTTTAGATGTAAAATTAATATAGTTAATAGAATTAAAATCTTGTTGTTTTAGTTTATAGTAAATTTGTGAAACGTAAACGCTATATAAACCATTTAATTAATATATAGAATTCAAAACCAGTTTCAAAGCCATGTATAAAATAATAAGTGTTTTCAGTGTACATCTTGTATTATTTGTTAATGCAATTAAATTCAACGCATAATCAATGGTTTTTGAAGGTATAAGTATATGAAGACATTAAGTATAATATGATATTTTATTATCTGCATTACTTGGACCTATTAGGGTATATGGAATTGCTTTAACAGCTGAAGTAGCATAGTAGCTACGCGAGCGGTGTGTGTATAATAATTCTAACAGCAATTTTACAGCTACCCAACACTCTTTACCAGTCGGAAACTTCTTCCTTGTATACTTATTATCCATGGTTTCTAGCTTCATTTAATTAAGTTTACTATTGATTTTATTTATTTGCACCTTTTTATAATTTATATCTAAAAGATGGATCTATTGATTTAAATCTTTGGAGCATTTGTTAATACGATCTCAGTGTTCAACACTCTCTTACTACACATAGAATAGCACTCTTTTCTCCTCTGATTTTTTATATATTCAATTTTTAATCATATTATATTTTATAATTGCGAGTTAGGCTAAGTTGCGTTCTAAATAGGAAATCTAAGTTGTGTTGATAATGTAGTAATGTGTCGTACTTAGCATATTTTCGAGGTGGCTAAGTCGAGACTAAATCGCCAGGGTTGCCATTTTATATTTTCATAAGATAATATTTTCATAATTGAATTCAAATAAATATAAGAATATAGAAAACGGCAATAAAAAATAACTTTTTAAAATGTTATCTGATAGATGTATTGAAAAAATTAATAAGCGCTATTAGAAAACATTTAACCGAAAAACGATCACTTTTAACATAGAGCTCTCATTATTTATGAGATTTGTTATATATTCTTTTAATATTTGTATTTTATAATGTTATATGATAATTTTTCTTGTTTTGATAAGTAATTAAGGTACTTATATCATAATGCATGCTCTTCTGAGTATGATAAATAATGAATTACATACAATTATTTTACACCTACATTTATTTATATAAGTATCTTGAGGTATACTAATGCAATATTCTCAGATTTATCCTTTATACTAACTGTTGTTGATCGGTAACATCGGTTCATAACATGCTATCAAATTATATTCAGCGTCTCTCCAAACAACTTCAACGTAATAATGAGTTGTATCTTTCTTAGCCGAAACCTCTAAATATGTAGTATATATGTGCTATGCAAAATCAGATTAAACAATTTTAGCAACTTTGCTTTCTTATAATTAAAAAATATGTTATCATTTACATATCATATTGTAACTTTTAAGCACCAACGTGGGTGACAGTAGCATAAAGAGAAAGGTAGAAGGGTGTATGATGCCATGGGTATTATTTGCAGTAGCGTCAAATCATTTCTAAGATTCTAAGAAATTTTTTTAAATTTATTTATCGACCTATTTATTAAAATGGTTTTTTATATATTTTTTAATCTGACTGTAGGTCTCTTGTTAAATAATTCAACGTTTATTATTTTTTTTTTGCATATTTTTTATGTATTATGTAAAAATGTAGTAAAGAGCTCTAGGTTCCAGTCAGTGAACTATATATTTTAAAGAATTAAGCTATCAATTTATTAAAATTATTAAAAAAAGTACTATATTTCCTTATTTTACATTGGTTAAATTATGAGATATATGTACTACAGTATAATATAACAGTATGTATGTAACGGTTATATAAATAAAACTAATAAGAAATTTCACATTAATTTTGATATAATCAATGAGTTGTACTTAATTAATGATTACTGCTAACATAAACAGTAGATAGACTTGGATTTATATACCGGACACCTACATTATGACACATACATCCATTACTTGTTTGTTTATTGTTTAGTTGGAAGGCAGATAGTAAACCAAATCTGTAATCTTTTGACCCAGTTAATCTCGGATAAACTGATAATCCTTGAACAAATTTTAATTTATTATTTGCCCGTCTGTAATCTCTGTACATATATTATGACCCAGTTTACCTCAGTTGAAAATAAATAAAACATCAGATCTATTGTTTAAAAGAAGCTCTGTTTTATTAATATGAAACACACTTGATTTCAAATTCTAGTTTTCTTTTTGTTTTTAATTGATACAGCTCGTCTAATCTAAAAAACAATATAAAATATAAATTTCTTAACACGCAGTTTCTTTCTAGTGAAGAAGTGGCAGGTGTCCAACTGTACATGTACGAGTCTACACTTTTATAAAAGACAAGTCAAGACATAGACGAGATATTCTTAGTTTATTTTAAAAATGTTTATTAAATACATAGAATTTTTATAATAAAATATAGTAATCCTAAGAGCAATTATATGATTAAATAATGTGTGTGTAATGTAAATATATGTTACTTTTAACAGCAAAAAAAAAGTAAGAATAAACAAAAATTACCAAGCTTAATCACAATAAAAAGAGAAGACAATTGATAACGGAATCTGATAAAGTACATTAAATGTTGATAGAGTTTATCTCTCAGATATCTTCTATAGTGAAAATCCTAGGACGTATAATGAAGCTTTATGATATAATATTTTATCAGAGATTAAGTCTTAACTTCTTATTACTAAGGTATAATACATGTGTATGTATATGCATTATTAAGCATTTAAGAATGTGATAATCTGTATTATTTTTACGGCTGCACTGATTTAACTTAAAGAAATTTAAAATAATTTCTAGTGGAATAATTTATTTCGAACTTAATTAAAAAGTGAATAATAATAATAATGCATATGAAAAATATTTGAATATTGTTATATTAGATGTAAAATTAATTAACGATATATTGAAACCCTTATTGATTAAATGCTTATGACACTAAAATATTAGGGAAGCAGTTTAGACGATCCAGCCACTGCTCACGATTTAAAAGTATGCAGTTCTTGTATGGTTTTATACGATAATGACAAATATATGTGTCACATCTCTGTGGGCTGCATATTAATAGCTCGATGTTTGGACGGTTGTGTATTAAATTTATTTAAAGTATATTATACCAAATTCAAATCTTCAATTTTATGAAATGGAAAGTTGTATGTGAGAACACAGATTCTCTCATTTTACCGCCCAGTTTACTTCGCTTTAAATCTCATTATTATATTTCATATATTAAATGCATGGAATTATGTAGATTTTGTAGAGCTGCAATTAATTGGTCAGCATGAGCACTTGGTTTTTGAATCCGCACCGGATTGATCACCCTGATTATTTAGATTGAACTTATCGCTATCGGCTAAGTCGGCAGCAGTTATAAGCTTGTCGTTAAGTAAAATCTTAAATGAGAAAAAAAAGAAAATAAATATGATAAATACCTTTACAATATATGCATTTTTATTAAATTTTATAGGCATAATATTATTTATACTATCCAACCTGTAATAAGCTATGTCTCAGTAATATTAAGAAGAATAACTTTTTATATGAAATATCTACATTTGATAATAATAACTGAACTAGTAAGAAGTAACTCAATAACTGTTATAAATACTGTGAATAACTGCATTTTATCACCACTACTTCTTATTGTTGTGCTCCAGTGGATGGTAGATTAAATACTAGGTTGGAAGATCTAGAGTATGCGGACAATATTGTACGGCTTTCGCAAATTAATGAATTACAAGACAAAATGCGTATAAAAACCAAGAACTCAACTAGCTTTACAATCAATGGGCATCACATCATAGATACCGAAAGCTTTATTTTCTTAGGTAGTATTCTATCGATGGATAGGGGTGCGAAAAAGGACCTAAAAGACTGCAATCATTTACCAATTGATGCCTGCGCAACATATTAGGCATATGGCGGCCAAGAACGATTTCAAATAAAGAGTTTTTGAGAACCCAACGTCATTCCTATTGCAGTCTTACCGTTCTTTAGAATAGAATTTATAAACAACTGGTCCGTAAAATACGATACTTTTAATTTTAACGATATTATTTTTTGTGGTAAGATATTAATACCAGTCTTTACAAAAAGAATTGAATATTTTTCTAGTTGCCAGTACGATTCAGGTTAAATAACATTAATATGTAATAGAATAGATTACAACTGTAGAAGTTGTATCCTAAAATGACGTTAAGTGACTAACGTCTCTTACGTCGATCGTATACCACCATATATTATTATCTGAACATACCTTGTTGACTAAAGCCTTTGCTGCTTCATCAATATTTATATTTTCCTTTGCTGATGTTTCAAACCAACCAACAAAACCATTTTCTCGTACATATTCATCCATTTTTTCGGGTGTCGTAACAATTCCTTGTTTCTCTTGATCACACTAAAAAAATTACAATATAATTTAAGAATAATTCAAATAAATATATACATTGTAAAATTGTAAAATTTTGTAAAATTGAATGTAAACAAAATAGGTAAACAAAAACATAGTGTCAAATTTAATATTTACCTTATTTGCCAATAGTATGCAGGGTATACGACTTCCATCTGGTAATTGCACCTTTGAATCTAAATCCTCTTTCCACTTGCTCACACAATCGAAGGTGCCACTACGTGTTACATCAAATACAATAAAGGCACCAACTGCTTCCTTATAGTAAACACGAGTCATGTTACCAAAACGTTCCTGTCCGGCGATATCCCATAATTGCAGACGAACTATAGTATTTGCATCCCAATTCAATACCTTCAAAGCAAAGTCAACACCAATTGTGGCGCGATAATTTTGACTAAAAAATTGATGTACGTAACGTTTAATAAATGAAGTTTTTCCGGTACCGAGTTCCCCGATGACTAGAATTTTATAAAGATGTTCACGTTTTTCGGTATTACTGGATGTCATAATTGTCTGTAAATGTATAAACAAAAAAGTTGGAACTTTAGTAAGTAAGTGGATGTAAAAAAATACTTATTAGATATATATGATATATTGAGAATCTATTATTTATTCATTTCAAATATTTTTAATAAATACTTTTTAGAAGACCACATAAAGCAAATTTTAACTGGTTTGATAATTTGCGTTCCTGAGTCTAGTTCTAGTAGCATTAATATTAAATAATACTTAATTTCTATAATTTAGTTTATAAGAATTTTCCCAGAGTAAAGTATTTGCCATGTTTTAGATATTCTATATTATACTAGTACTCAAATGTATTTTCTAGATTCTTAGAATACAACACAAAACTGTATCCAATTGAATTAATTTTTAAATGTTTTAGTTTTAATAATTAACTATAAAAAACAGATATTTAAAAAATCAATTAAACAACGTTATTTAAATAAATATTCGTCATCAGCACATATTCGCATGCATTTGATAAAAGCAACAAAAAACGTTTTCAGTCTAAGGAATTTTGCAAGCAGTTCAGTTAGCATTTCTAGGGTTTCTCAAACGAGTTTGATAGGCAGCAATACTGTCGCACACACTCACTTCTGAATACTACACCAAATGTACATTGCTTAGCAGAACTTAATAAACATTTTGTTACTAAGTTAAGTCTTACCGGTTCCACTTCCTGATCCATTGTCAAATCGCCAAAAGCGGGCATGTGTTTATCGATCGAATCGTTTTCGGATTCTAAAGAATATTCACTGAAACGCTTTTGGAGATCCCGATTTAATTCGTCTGATTCGAATTCGTCGGACAATGTGGGTTGTGCTAGAAAATGTATACGACGTCGGCTAGCTTCACTAACAACACTCAATGAATCGGAACTATTCGAATCGTAGGATCTTTGTTCAAAATGTGTCAGAGGTGGTCGTACAGCACTTCCCACAGCAAAATGTACCGGAGCTGGTGCAGAAGCAGTAGATATATCTGGAATCTGTATAATTTTTTGTGAATCCTGTGAATACTGCTGTGAAAATATATATCCTGTTTTGTTAGATCCCTTTATCTTATTACCACAATAGTCACTTAATTGTGCACTTTCCGCTGATGAAGCTAGCTCGTCTACACCGATGGTGCTTACAGTTAAAACTGATTCTTCAGCGATTAGTTGCACAGCTTCTGGCTCCGATAACGCTATAGCCGTGTGCGATGATGTATAACGATGCTGCGGTGAACGTGTTTCAGTAGCACTATATGCACTGCTATTGCGTTCCTCTTCCTCTTCTCTACCCTCGCTTATATAGGAAGTATATGATTTGATTATTTCATTTGAAGAATTCGATTTCAGCGAAAGTGGATCTTCGTCGGGTGGTGTTGGTGGCAGTGATGACGAAAACGATAGAGAGTCGTTCGATTCCAATTGCAGTTGTATTAAACGTTGGCTATGATGCGCTTTTGCGGTATCAGCTGCAGCAGCAATAGCATCAACATCAACAGCATCTGCAACAACCGCAGAGAGTGGGGTACACTGAGTTTTATTGGGAGAAGCGATTGGAGAAGAAGATTGCTTTGGAGATTCCTTACCGCTTGAACTGGTTGTTGCTGTTGTTGTTGGTGCTGACGTTGTTGTTACTGTAGCTAATGTTGACGGTGGTGATGATGGTGTAGGGAAGCGATGTCCACGTTGTAGTGTTTCTTGAGTGGTTTGCATTAATTCCGTTTCAACTACTTTTTGTGTTGAATGGGCAACAGTAGTTGTGCGCTGTTGCTGTTGCTGTTGCTTTTTCTTTGTCGCTTTACCGTTGGTAGCACTTGAAGACGCACTGCTGCCTTTGATGAGACGTTGAATAATGGTGCGCGACGCAACAACTGTTGCGGTTGAACGGGTATTTGATGGCTTGCGTACTGCACCGGTGGTTGTTGCCGTTTGACTAGATGGTGTCGCACGGCTTGGCTTGGCTGGAGCTCTTTCGCTCGGTGGTATGTCGCGTATACTCTGTGTGATAACAAATTTCTCTTCGGTCGATTTTATTTGTGCTGGAATGTTTGCGAGAGTTTGAGTGGTAGAACTTGTTGTTGTTGTTGTTGTTTGCTTTGCTGTAGTTGTTGTAGTTTTATTACTGTCACTGCTGTGTGATTTTGTGGATTTGAGTTTTTTCTTTTTCGATGGAGATGGAGATGTTGTGGTCGTTGAAGAGGCTATTGACGTTTCATGTACAATAGCTGTTGATAATTCCTTTGGGGAGTCTTCCAGAGGTGTTAAATAATCTGTTTCACTCGGTGAACTAGCTATAGCCGTGGTATTTGAAATTGATAAATGTTTACCGTTTCCTGTAGTTTGTTCGATTTTTTTACCGCTTATTGTTATTTCCACTTTTCTTACTCGATCCGTTGGAGGCGCTGCAACAATATCATCGGTAGCAATTTTAGTTTCCTGTTTCGATTTTTCTATAGTAGTAATAACTTTTTTAGTAATTGGACCTTTTGCTTGTTTTTGTTTAGAAGCTATTGTCTCCGCTTGTGATGGGTCATTAGTTTTAGGTGCAGAAGTTTTGGACTTTCTTAAGCTGGATAGAATAAAGCGTTTTGTAAGACGTGGTTTTGTTTTTGATTTTGAATCTTCTTCTGTGGTTGTTTTAGTTTCCGCGGTGACTGCTATGGAAGTTGATTTCGTGGATTCTACGGCAATCTGTTCAGTAGAGCCCGATACAGCAGTTGGAGCAGTTTTACTTTCTGGTAAAGGAGCTTCAGTAGTTTTACTCTCCTCTACTGAAACTGGTTTATGAGTTGGACTATCCTTCTTCTTATTTGTTTTAGAAAGCTTGCGTATAGCGGTCGATAGTCTTGAACGTGTTTTCGCTTTAGTATCCTTTGGAGATTCCTGACTAGGTGTGGGTGATTTCGATATATTTTTAGAAGAGGTTTTCGTAGCAGCTGACAATTTTTTGCTTGTTATTGGGGTTTCTTTTGAGGTAGTTGTCTCTGTTTGTGTTGCTGTTTTTGAAGGAGTTGTTGTTGTTATTATTATTTTAGATGTTGATGTGGCTACTGGTGTTGTTGGTGTACTTGTTGTGGGTGTTGTTATTGCTACTTGCGGGTGTTGTTGAGTACTTATTTGTAGTGTTGTTGCCTGAGTTGTTGGGGCTTTGGTTGGTACTTGTGTTTCTGGTGCTGTTGCTAAGGCTATGGGTGCCTTTGGTGACGCTTGTGTTTGTGGTGTAATTGGTGTTGTAGATGTTGCTGGTTTCACTGGTTCTTGTGTTGTTGGTGCTTTTGCTAATACTACTGTTTGTGGTGTTATTGTTCGCGTCGTTGGTGATGTAGTTGTTGCAACTTTTACTGATGTTGGTGCTTGTTGTATTGTTGGTGATTTTACTGATGTCAATGCTTGTGGGGTTGTTGTTGTTGTAGTAGGTGCTGTAGCTCTTCCTGATACTGGTGTCGCTGGTGATACGGTAGTTAACGGTGCTTTTGCTGATGTTGCTTGTGGTGTTGTTGATGTTACAATGGTTACAGATGGTGTTGTTGGTGCTGTTCCTGGCGCTGTTGTTGTTATTACCAATTGTTTTGTTGTTGCAGATGTTGCAGTTGATACTTTAGGAGCTGTTGTTGTTACAGTCGTTGTCTTTTGTGTTACGGTTGTTGGTATTTCTGTTGTTCTTATTACTGAAGTTGTTAATAATGTTGTTGCTGTTGCTACTGATGTCGCCACTGATGTTTCTACTGATGTTGCGAGGTGTGGTGTTGATGTTACTGATAGTGTTGATGTCACTGTTGTTTCTGAACTTCCTTGTATTTGACTTTTATTGTCACTGGAACTTAATGGAACTGCAGTTGGATCCACTCTGTGCTCCTTAGTTGTTATGGTTTTGTCTGCATCAGTGTTTTGCATATTATATTAACGTTGAAATAATTGCTTAATATTTCTTATAGAAGTAGAGCAATCAGTAAGGATATACGTGAACAAGATTTTTGCTTTTATGCAAATACATTTTTAAAGGAATATTTCAACAGTACTTTCAAACAAATACATATATTAGAATCGTGTTTTGAAATTATTTTAATACTTTGTTTCAAACACTACATATATTAAAATTAGAAAGACTTTTGTTAAGAAAACTTTAATTAAATTTTTTTAAACAAAATCTATTTGTATGACATGAGAATGTCATACAAAATATAGCAGCACTTATAGGGCTTCACTAAATATACATTGAATTTACTAATGGCACCATATGAAAAAATTTTGATTTAAACTCAAATATGCGTTCTTCTTAATATAATTTATACTCTTATAGATACTATAAAATGTTACTAGGAGTCTAGACATATGTCTTATAGTCTAAGTAGCATTATAATGAACCGACACATCCTTCTTATTTTAATTTTTATCTATACGTTCCGACATTTTTTTTCAACCGCTTAACTCGACCGGACACCTGACTCATTTGAACTGAAATCTTCGTTGTTGTTTTGTGGGCTTTTATTAAATTTGAGAGAACTACAAAATATTTCATTTCAAAGTGCCCATACCCGTATAAGCCAACCGCAGCGTTGGTGGTGCAAAGTGTACCAAAGTGCATGCTAACAAAATATAATCTATATAAGCTAGTCTAGTACGAAGTAATACGAAAGAGGGCTTCAGATTACAATCACAATAAGATGTTCTGTTTTAGGAATTTAAAAATGAGCGCAAGCTGAGGTCGAAATTTGAGTTATTCTGCTCATGCGGTTGCTGCCGCTCTACCGCTCTGCCACTTGCCTGTGGCTTCTGTGTTGCAATATTAATATTTGCACTGATAATATATTGTAGGTGCACTTGTCAACTGCACTGCTGCTGAGTAAAACTGGCCATTAAAAATGATCTATTTAAATGCTACTTGCATTGAGTGAGATAATTTTGGATGAGACACATTCAGATCCTATACTTAATATTTAATATTGAAATTCTTTTATTTTGATAATGAATATTGATTGATTAACAGTTAATAAGCATTTCATTACTAAATAAAGGCTAAGCTATCAAGTACGATAAGTGCCCAATTCATGAAAAGAATTTATTACTATTGTAATCAAATTATTTCAAGTTTGAATGCAAATTAAATCAAGCGTTGATGGTAAGCAACAAATGAATAATACCTGGCATTCATTCATTACTAATTAAATGCAATAGTTAGAATGCAGCTATTTATGCTCTGACTTAGCTATACTATTGCACAAACATTTGTTAGTGCAACATTTGTTACACGACAAATTAGCAATAGTTTTGAAAACGTGTGTTGCAGCCTCAACTCCTTTTCAACATAAAATCATTAAGCAGAATAGAACTGAAACCAGACGAAAATCCACTGAGGCAGAAAAGACCAACTTTTGCTTGAGTTCACGTAGTATTAGCACTTGCACGGCTTCAGCTTAGACGCCAAGATTGTAAAAACGAGAAAACTGAAGTCTTAAATCCTAAATCTGTTCTTTAAGTAACACATAAAGCAGACAACATATAAGCAATATGATTATTTATCAGCAATGCGTATATAATATGTTAAATTACAATATACCAATATATAAAAACTAATACTATACTAAATGGTAGATCTATGTTTGTTTCATTTAAACATACACCTTGATAGTGCTTAAACAAGAATATGAATATATCTTTTATACCTTACACACATCTCAAACGGGTGTATTATTTTATTCAAATGCTGGCAATGTACTTAATAAGATCAAGAAACCTCCATAATATATATGTATAAGTACGTTATCCATTGCTGCAATGTTTTATGTCAAATAGTACTATCATGACTACCAAGCCATTATTTGTTAAGTTTAAAGTATGCCATTTTGCAATACAAATCATTTAACAACCGCTTAACATGGTTAAATTGTTAAACTGTATTAAAAAAATGGTAGTCTTGGTATGGTAATTATATATTGCATCGAATTTTCTTTAGTGATAAAGAATATTTTTTGCTTGGCGGATATGTTAACAAATAAAACTGTTGCGTGTGATGCAGTGATGATTCACAAATAACTTTCGAAAGACTACTGAAACGACAAAAATCATTCTAATTTTGTAGATTGATATATAGTCTCAGGGTGTGATAGACTTATACTTTTCTGAACATGATGAAGATATGAAACACGGTGTCAAAAGCCAGAGAATATTCCGAAGCTGAACATTATGCCGATAATCAACACTGGACTTTTTTTTGGATTATAATCGTTAAATATAAGATGAGCAATAACAATCCTAAGGATCGTTAATATGCAGACAATCCTCAAACGCTCGATGACGATGCTTTGGAAACAAGTCAACAAGTCATTGAAAATTACTTCAAAGGATTCAATACTAATTACAAGGTCCAAATATCATATTGAAATTAATATTTAATATAAATTTTAGTCACAAGTCTATTTTATCTGTAATTCGTCTGTAATTTCTCTTGAATAGGTCATGTGTGTAAGGATTTAAAGCTTCGGAAAAGCCAAAGCTTATATTCTCTTTTGTTTTGCTTTCAATAATTAACATTTTAAAGCTTATTTAAAATCAATGTTTTTTAAAATATAAAAATATGTAATGAGTTTTGTGTTAATTTAAAGCAATTTTTTTTTAAAGTTTACTTATTGAATTCAGAAGGTACTCTAGCTATACAAATTTATGGATATTTCTCTCCTAACTATTCATTTTAAGATTTACAACTGGATTATTGCAAATAACATATTCATGAGTTATGCAAACTGTTAACCACATTAAATAGATTAAATATCTTTGCTATATTGCCACATAGTTTCAATTTTAGTTATACGAGTACATTGCAATATATATAATGCATAAAATTTGTGCACATACTCGTACTTGCCAGTTGTGGTTTTACATATTATTTTTCTCATATTTAGGGTGAGAAATATATACAACATATCAACACCTAAACACAGCCATTGCAGAATCTACAGCTTTCCTATATGGTAACATAATACAAAGTACATAGTCAAAGATAGATTCGACTTAAGCTGTTGTCCAAAAGTTGAAGTATTCGAAAATATGGAATATTACTAGTAAGCTAATGAGATTGTACGATACAATGTAGATAGATGATGACTTTGTGGTTTTGGAAGTTGGGATCGCTTCCGCACTTGAGTTGAAGTGTAAAGAGGTAATTGTATAAGTTATGACGTTAGTTTAAATTAAACTACACAAATGTTTGCGGATCTATGTTTATCGGTTTACACAGACTTAGTATATTACGCTCAAATAAATTACATATTTACATGGCCTGAAAGTGGGAAGATATGATTTTCCAAAAATTTAAGTTCGATATTAAATACGCTGAATATATGTATCCCTATAAAGTTATCAATAGTTTTTTTAAACTGTAGCTCATTATGTTCACCAATTTTTATAAAACATCCAATATTTCAATAGTTGGTGTCCAATGTATCTAATATAAAAATTTTAACCCGCGATATAACCTAAAATGTAATGGTTGTTTATAGGTTAGGCTAAGGCCTTTCTGCACTGCGACCAGCTTGATTTATTATGCACTCCTTTGTATTTAGACATTTAGTATCACGAGGAATCGAACGAGTTCCGTCGGAGGAAGTTTTTCTAATCTCTAGTCTAAAATACTGCAGTAGTTAAAAAATTTATGAAAACGTGGTGAGTTCTTACAAATCTAATAGGTTCAATAGCCACTTTGTTGAAATAGATTTATTTCCTTCGCTCAGCTTAAATTGGTAAAATTATGTTAATTATTTAAAAATGATAACTCAAACATATATATATGACCACTTATAAAAGCAACGACCTTAAATCTATGCTTTCTTGTTAGGTTGAGTGGAACCCTTTATTTTTCTCTATCAAGTTGCGGTCACAATAATATAGATGTCACACAGGTAGCTATTGATCACCTTGTAGAAAAACACGATTAGCTATCGCTTCTAATTTGACAGACACGAGTTCTAAGACTGACACTTGTAGTCCAACCAATTTATATACGGATTATAAACTAATTAAGAAATTCGAATATTTACTAAGACCCATGACGATGAGTACTGAGTAATATTTGAAACAGCGTTGTATGGTCACCCAAATATCAATAAATTAAAATAAAATTTTTGTCTTGTCTTTTTTTGCTATTCAAATCCGTCTAACTTTTAAATAGTTTCTTTTGGTCATAAGACGCGGCACCCTCGGCAAGAAAAAATTATGATTACTTAATAATTTAATTTTTATGTAGAAAAAGTAAAATTTTCAAACATAAATATTGTATTTTACTAATAGCCAAAAATTTAAAATAAATTTAAAATATCCTTTTTTAATCACTGGCTTTTTGATAGAGTTAAAAACACTGTTTTTTTTTGAAAATGTTCATTCTTTGCAGCGCTAGTTTTTTAATATACAAGCCATCAATGTAACCTTTCAATATCAATGGATATTTATACACATCTTATTTTGTAATGTACAATATTATTTCGAGAATTGTCTTTTTACTTGATCAATTTGCGGATACACATATATATAACACTCCAAGTGGATATATATTTCTTTATGCAATTCAAACGATTTCAATCCGGTGATGAGAACATATGAGAACAGTAGGCTTAAATGACTTTCAAAATTAAAGATTATAGATACTGAAAACTTTAGTATTCACAACTTTGTTGCAATAATTGCAATAATACAATAATTGTTATAAGAATATCTTTATATTTGTTTAATATTTAAATGTACTATATTCTTACTTAAAACAACTATTTTTTATTTATTTTCGATATACGTCAGTTGTTTAACTGAATTTTCTACCAAAATGCATTCGTTGAAACCAGTAAAATAGTTTCCAAATATACGAGAATATATGCACATGCTCTCACCAATTTAACCCCATCATTATTGTTAGGAAAATACTTATATTTATGTAAAACCTTGCATCTAAACCGCTGGTATCAAGATTATATACGGAATAATGGAGCATTGATTGAGGCCCAAAACCAGCAC